CGAGAATTGATCGTGATGTACTCGTGAGTCACTATAAAAGGAGTCCCAAAATGTTGTTTAGTGAATAAAAAGAAGGGTAAATCAAGCACATACATGGGCATTATACCTAGCCTTGTCAATATGGCTCGTCGACTCGGGCAGTTCGAGCTTAGCCCCGGAAAAGCGCGAATCGGGTTGGCCTGTGAAGCTAAAATAAAAAAGAGCTTACAACTGTAATTTTTTTTTATATGTTAATATTTAGCTATTATTTATAACACGCATAAATTGTACAAATTTTAAATACTTAAAAAAAATTTAGATTTGTTATGAATTTTTAAAAATAAATCAGGCCGACTCAACTCTCTAAAGCCCAAGCCTAAATTTTTTGACCGAGCTTTTGCTTGGCTCGGCTCCGACCAAAAAAACTCGAACCATTTTTACTCAGGTAGAGCCGAGCAAAAAGTTTCAGTTCACAGCTCAACTCGTTGACACCCCTAATTATACCATAAGACAAAGAGGGCCTTGTGTTTTTCCCTTGCTTTTTTCTCTCTTCCTTTTAACAGTCATAACACTCATCTATATTGAGTCGTCTTTTATGATAACATTGTTGAGTCTATACAGAACTGAATTAAACCACCTTACACCTCTACGCAGGCTTGGCAACCTACGCCTTTGCCCAGTCTTTTTGCGATTTGATCTGCAGCCGACGAGGGCACAAGGTAAAATAAAATCAAACCCAAAATTCTCTTTCCAGAAGTGTGTAAGTAACACAATAAACACGGATTTGCTTGTGCCTAATTTTTTCTGTTCTGTGGCACTTGTACTCTCAGAGAACTGGGCTGGGTCAGTTCGGGTTGCTCCAAATCCCAGCCCAACCCAACTCCCAGCCAGAAACTATTCCCCAAGTAATTCAAATCAAGATCCAAGTTACATAAATATATATAGCATGATTTCTGTATTCTAGAGATCATACCTAATGTGTGTACAAGTGATACAAAGGGGTCTAACCAACACTCGAGCTACAATATATGTATGTATACATGCTCATATATACAATCACCTACTTCAATAAATTATTTTCTATTCTAAATGGGAATAAAAACTGGTCACTAAACTTTTAACCGAAACTTGTTGAGTCATTGAAGTTGTCACAGAACACGAAACTTTGATAAANAAGTTGTCACAGAACACGAAACTTTGATAAAATTCGGTTACTCCATCCACATCACATAGTTTGATTAGTAAAAAAGTTGACATGGCAGATTCCAGTTAATTTTCAAATAGACTGCCTCGTCACCTTTTTCATTAGTCAAACAAGCAGACATATAGGTGGAACAACCAAATTGTAACAAAGTTATAGTGACAGACATGAAATTTCGCTAAAAGTTCAATGAGCCTAGCATTCTCAACCCATTTCTAGATGCTGACTTAGCAGGTATGGGTCTCTGAGATGTCTTTAAACTCCCTGATTGAAATCCCCATAGCTGGGTCGAGGCTGCATACTTAGGCTGGGGTTATTGGAGGCAGAATGAGGCATTTGAAACTGCTGCTGTTGCTGCTGTGCCTGGTGGTTACTGAAAGGATTGAAAGCCTGTGGTTGGGACGAAAATGGGGATCGCGTTCCTCTGTTGTTTCCATTGGCAGCAGGTATTTGGCCTGCTGCTATCTTCAGACGCTGCAGTTCTTCCCTCAATGTTTCATTCAGAGCTGAAATTCACAAAGATTACCATTTTATCAATCAAAACTTCCAATCACACGAACAACTACGTGCATATAACTACAATACACTACTAGCATGTTTGGCTAAGTTACAAAAATGGCATGCTCAGACTAAGCCTACGTTTGCCTGATGTTATAAAGTATAAACTGTTTATAAACACTCAACCAACTTTTTATCCACACATTTTAGGGGGACCCACAAGTACTATATACTTGTACACCTCTTATTTCTATCTATTTATTATTTAAATTGTTTATGAACACATTTCAGACATGCTTTAAGTTGCAGCTCTTAGATTGACTCTTGGCTGTTTCAATACAAGATTCTACATTGCTAAAGATTCAAGAATTCTACAGCTTCATCAGAAATCAATTGCTTCCAAGTATTTCCACAATCCTATGTGGTACTAAAAGGATTTCAGTTATCAATAATTACAACTTTTAAGTTTTAACTATAAATTTAGATAGATAATTCTCTCATAAAAGTGTGTGTGTTTGTCTTCCATTATTGTAGAAGAAATGGAGTGATGAATGGTGTTTTTTGGAGAATGTGTGGTTGAAATTTAAAGTAACTTTATTGGTTTGTGTGTAGAATATTTTATTGAGTGAATGTGTGGTGGAGAATCTTACTATAGCAAACAATGTTTTGGAATAATGGGAGACAAACGGGACCTAAATAATAACAGGTAGTCCTGCTATGGTAACTTCCAATATTCTCTCTCCTTTACACCTTGGTATAGCATTACAATAATTTCAGTGGCTTCTTTATCTCTTCATGTTCAAAAATCAACACATTAGTATCCGATAAGAACCGATCTTATCAAAAAAAAAAAAAAGAATTCCTTGAAAACTAGTCTTGTAACATATCATGGCTATCTTTTTCAAAAAATATCGTATAATATTTGATTTTCCACCAAACATAATAGGGAAAAAGGGTTTTATGCCCGCAGAAACATAATCAGCACATAAATGAAGTAGCTATTTCAAAAACCCACACACTTTGAAATCTCCCATACCATCTCTAAGGTGAGCTTGTTGCTCGAGAGCCTGTAACTTCAATTTGAGTTCCTTGTTCTCAGATGTCAACCCAGTAGTGTCTCTCTGCATCATATCAAGCAATATGGAAATAAGTAAGGTGTCCATAAACTCAAGTGACACTCTCTTTATTTCCTGCATAGTCGAATGCTCATGAGTGAAGCTGTACAAATAAGACACTGAAAACAATTCACATAACAATTAAATTTTTCCATCCTAAAATGTTTGGCTGTATCTGTTCGTAGGAGGGAGACCATCTCAGTAGACCACATTAGAAGAGGGATAGACCAAATGTCACATGTTTTGTGTGGTTGCTATTTGCTAAGGATCTAGTTGTTTTGAATCTTTACAAATGAGCCCAAAAGAGTGACCAAAGAGCATTCATTAGCCGACCACAAATTTATTATCAACAGTACTTAGTTTGTTGTTGAAAAGCTGAGCTAGATATGTACAAACATTTTGAAGAGTATATCTGACAATTTGAAACGATGTTAATATTATGGATTAATCGCTAATCTTATATTACCAGGAGCAATAAAAACACAAAACGGAGAAAGTCGAAAACAATTAAGAACACAGAATTTGGAGTGGTTCACACTCAATGCGAGAGCTACATCAACTTAATGCCGCTTCAGGATTTCTCTATGACAAAGAAGGTGACTGACACATATCTCTATTTCTCTCTGCCACAAAAACAGAGATTCTCCCTAATACCCTTTATATAGGAACAAAAAATTAGATCGACCTAATACATGTGTGAATTTCCAAAGTACCCCTACAACACTTTAAAAATGTCTCCTCAGGGGCTCAAGCCGCAGTCGAGGGGAAAAGTATGTAGTATATTAGGCTCCACCATTCAACAGCTAAACCAGATTATGTTCTTGGAATTTGGGTTTTGAATCTGATGGCAGTATGATGTGTAATTACAGTTAAGAAGTCAGTTCTATTTGATGGTAATCTTAAATTAATCTTTGTTGTTTCAAAGAAATCATTTGGAGCTGAACAGATTTTGTTCTCTTTGTCCACAGAAGTGAAGATATTTTGCAAATCAATGTCTGCTTTTCCCAACAAAAGTGTTTAACGAATTATGTGAAAAAGTGCATTAGATTTGTTACAATCAGCCACTAGTATTGACATTTTATTATATTTCACTTTATATTATGGATCTACTCGATCCAATTTCTACCAATTTTTGTCTTATCAATACATTTGGTCATTTAATTAGCCATTGTTACACAATTTGTGATCATGTAACAGTGAGGTTATTCATTCAATTTCCATTAGTTTAGGACCATCACTATAAGTGGTTACAAAGGCATTTCAAAATTTTGGCACCTTTGATGAATTGACAATTGAAATATTTATTAGAATTTACCATTAGTTTACTTTAAGGTTTTGAATTTGTTCCATGGTTTACGGTCCTACATCACATATTGCAAATTGGAACGAGAAAAATTTTCATCCCAGAGTCATATGATGAAATATATAATATGTTATTTCTATTTGCAGTGGAATGAAAAAATTTCTTTCCCGCGTCAACATATATAGTTCACAACGAGCCATCATTGTTGCAAATTAACTAAGCCCTGTTTGACACACATTCTCTCAAAACTCATTTTCAAATACACATTTTTCAATAAAATAATATTTTCTATCACATCAATAACTTTTCCTTACTTTTTATTTTAATCACATATTTCCCATCATATCACTATTTAAAATACACTCTTTCCTCAATAATATCCATTAAACACCCCCTAAATCATATCACACACTTACCTAGGGTCAACTAAATGGATGACTTCTTCTTTCATTCCTCTATATCAATGACCATGTGAAAAGGTAAACATAAGCCTCAGAGGTTCACAAAACACTTGGTGCATTTTGCCTCTACATGAAACCTATTCTTTTGTTTGTATAACACACAAATAAGCAAAAGAACAAATCCCTCTCCCTCCTGTCCAGCCGCACCAGAATGAACTTTTTACTAAACTAGACATGCCCATCAATTCTTATCCAGCCAAAATATATTTGAGATCAAAAGGGAATGAGAAACAACTCTCTTCTGTCCCATCATTCATATCTTATCAGTATTTTGCCAGAAATTCATTGACCTTGGTGAAAGGTAATTGTAGCTTACAGGGGTCAACTGTGAAAAGCTGGAAGATGTGGAAGTCCCCTGATGATATGTTCAGCAGCTGATTATTGACTCCCAAGTGCCCATGACCTAGGCACTTCTGAGAAGGAGAAGAGTTGGGATTTGGTAGTACATAAAGTAGTAGATCTGGCTTATTTGAGGGTGTTCCTTTTGAGGGTTTCAACTTTAGAGCCCGTTTGGTGTACATTAAAATGAAAGAATGTATTTTTTGGAAGTGATGTGACGGGGAATATGTGGTTGAAAATGAAAGAAAAGTTATTGATGTGATGGAAAATATTATTTTATTGAATAATGCTTGGTTGAAAATGAGTAGAAGAATGAGAATGAAAAAAATAATATGGGTCAAACAGTGGCTTACTTTAAATTTGTTAAATGATAGAGCAGAAAACCTTCCCCAGAAGCCACTTTCCATTTTGAGAATATGTGGCTTCAACAAGATGGAGTTTTTAGTAACTGTTAGAAGGAATCGGAATTCATACAAAGGTAAGGCCAAAAGGCTTAAATTGCTTAATGAAGATTTAGAAAATGGAACAGAGTATAAGATATAGGAATGGAAATAGGGAGAGTAAAGCTGAACTACTAAATGAAACTGGAAAGGTGGCTGTTAAGAGACTAGCTAGAGGCAGAAATCTAAGGCCCTTCGACTTCAGAAGAGTGACAACTTCTGCATGACAGCAAAAGGTTTTATCCATAACGTTAGAAAAAAAATAAAATATTTTTTGGGTTTAAATCAGTGTACAGAAGGAATTGGAAAAGACCCTATACACATTTTGTAATTTAAAATGGATCGGTCGACCCGATCTATGAATTTATTGCAATTTTCAATGAATTCCTTGAAGGTCAATTGCTGCTGCTAACAACTGACAGCACAAAAATGGGATCCAAAAAGAGGCAAAATGCATTACAGACACAAGACTGACCATTGAAAAACATGACTTATAATGCTTCCATATTATGGGTCCATTGTAATAAATTGAAAATAAGATTTCGTGAATGAAAGGATGATTCCAATATGTCGACTAAAGTTTTTCAAATATGTTTCCAAATATCAAAATTAACAAAATCCTTTCAGGAGAAAATTATCAAACCAAGTTAGCCATTAGTCGCCGTGCAATTACAAATGATTTCTAATGTTGTTTCGAAAACAACATGACAATCAAGTAGTATATATGTACCTGCAGTATAGTGATCTGTGCAGATAGTGTTGTTGCTTCTGTCTGCAGGGTCTGTACTTTCTTCTCCAGCTCACTTGTGTATCGTATTTTCCGGTCTTTTGATCGTGCAGCAGATTGTCTATTTGCAAGAATCCTATAATAGAAAATATCAGCTTCAATTTGCAATATTAAAAGTAAATCAGAATTCAATCCATCTCAAAAATAACTAAAAAATAAAAATCCTGAACATTCATCCACATCAGTACACACACAAGAACAGATATGTGTACACAGAGAGATTGAATATAGGCAAAGGGATAAAAAAATCTTTTGGATTTCAAGGAAAAAATACTATTAATCCAACGAATAATCAATATAATATAGGAATTATACTGGAGTTTCTTAAAGTGAACCAAGGCACTTGAATAAGGAAAAAGTTTCTTTTAGACAGCTATCATGAAGGGCAGGAATGAAATTAAGCAATCATTTCTCCCTTCCCGGTTTTATCAGAAACCTAAAACATAGAAAAAGTAGAAATGTATTAATAGTATTTATCATGTGCTATGTGGCTTGCTGACCTCATATGATGAGACGACATGTCAGCATCGATAACTAAAAATTTTCCAAGATGAAACCTAGGAAAAGAGTTCCACCTACTCTCTGCCCGGGTGAAATATGTAATATAACAAGGTAAGCTAACTTCCACAACCAAGCTAGAATGCCTAGTGTTGGAAAATGTGTCTAGGGAGTCCATGTGGGTTGACTCGATCCATATGCCATTATATATGGGTTGGGACATTCAATTTTAAATTTGAAAGTTAACCCCCTAAAACCACCCATAAGAAGAGCTTAAGGTAGAAATTCATTCACGAAAAAAGCCCAAATGTCTCTTCTATTATGTAGACAGCCTTTGGATACTTATATTCCCTTTTCCTACTACTACAAATATATCAAACTGAAAAGGGCTTGAAAACCATCATTGTGAGAAGTAAAGTTTCAAAAATGGCTCTTTGATAGTGGAAATTGAACTCTTTCAATTAGGACTGAATTATAGTTGTATAAGCGCATCAAATTGCAGCATTAGAGTCAAGATGGTAAGTAATTGAACCAAAAAGGTTTTCGGGAATTAAAAGTATGATGCAAGAAATTCTTGAACCATAATCCATTTACTGATTGTAATATAATGGTACAACTAGCTTGTGCGAAGTCATACTAGAAAGGCCAAAGCTCGAGTCACGCAGTGCAGCCACTGGAATCTGAGGAGAATCAACATATGACAAGAGAGATCACTAATTCTCCCAGATGGCTACCAGCTCTCCCTCTCTTCCCTCATTGTAAATACTAAATGACTATTCTCTCCATGTAACAAATAAAGCTATCAACTTCTTACTAAAATTGTCCAGGACTTTCCCGCAACAGCATTCTAGTACCATCCCCAGTGGCTGATCACACTTGTGTTTTGCCGGATTTTTGTTGAAGTTAGGTTCACAATGTTGACGATATGGCTCAGCAACGTCAATTTCAAACAAACATAAAATAAAAGCTCTGAAATAGCTCATCAAACACCAATTCATACAAAACATTTCTTGCTGACCTAGTTATATTTCTTGACCTTAATGAGGCCCATATAAATGAAAAAATAAGTATTCCAAATAATGAATCTTCAATAAAAATTCAAGAAAAATCCGAAAACTCTTCAATGAAAGCCAACGCTAGAAAAAGGTCAAACCTTTTAGCTCTCTTTGGGTCAATCAAAGCAAGCTCGGCAAGTCTATCTGCTGCCATAGCCTTCTTTGCACTAGAATCCTCCTCAAACGACGTTGCACTACCGTACCCATCCATCGAATAGCTGTGTCTATGTCTCGGCCCACCGCTCGCTTGGCCTGCCTTATTATTCTCCTCCGTCGACGGCGCCGGCCCATCAAACCCAAGCCCCTCAAAGAAGTCAGCGTCCACCGAAAGGCTCCGGAAGTGGGACCCGTGGCTCACGGACCTACTTTCACTGTTATTAGACCACGCCGGCTGAGCCGGTGGCCCATTAGGGAGGGATGGAAGGTTTGGGGGCAGGTCGAAGTTAAGGTTTGAAGCCACGTCGTCTAGAAGGAAGTCATCGAGGTCCGAAAAACGGAAAAAGGTCTCAGAGTGGGCCCGGCGGTGGTGGGCTCCGCGAGTTGGGGCTTCCGGCATCCTATCCAAATCAGTACGTCCTGGAACGTATGGCCCTGCTGGTATATGCTTCGCAGCAAACTTCGGTTCCATCCAACCCCGGTTTTCTATTTGTGCGTGTTGCTGTAATGACTGATTAGCTGCAAATCTTGT